TCCTGTCCCAAGAGATGCAGACCTCTATCCAGGACCTCCCATTCGATGGGAATGGTTTCTTTTCAGTGCAGACTGATGTGAGGCTGCGTGGATTAAAGGACACTCAGGCCACCCTTCACTCGCTGGACATGCATACGCTGCAGTCTGCATGGAAGCAGTTCCGGCTGACCCTGCCACCAAGGCCTTGGCAGCCCCGTCAAGGGTCTACAAGGAGAAAGGATAGAGACACGAGCTTTAGTTACTGCCGCCCTTCCTCCTCCCGCTCACCCATGTAGCCTGGCCTGGTGCAGCATCCCGGGGGCCAGAAACACTCATTTTGAAGGTGCGCTTGAGAGCGATGCCCGAATCAGGGAGCTCAGAGTGGTTCGCTTGGCCTGTCAGGCTTTTCGGTCCCACTTACAAGGTGGTTCAAGTCCTGACGAACACCACCACGATGGACAACACCGCCACGTTTTATATCAACAAGCAAGGTAGTGCAAGGTCGTCAGCCCTTTGCCAGGAAGTCCTCCGGCTCTGGGACTTCTGTGTGCAGCATGCCATTCATTTCGTGGCAGTACACCTCCCCGGGATCAGGAATGCATTAGCAAATCGCCTCAGCAGAGCCTTCTCATCTCGCCACGAGCGGTCACTCCACCCTGAGGTGGGCAGCGGGATCTTCTGAAAATGGGGATCTCGCGATTCGTCAGAACAGGAAATGCCACCTGTTCTGCTCATTTCAAGGGATCGACAGGGGCTCCCTGTTAGACGCCTTCTTACTTCTGTGGTCTGGAGCTCTGATGTATGCTTTCCCACCAGTGCCATTGCTTCACAGAGTCCTCGTGAAGATCAAGCAGGACAAAGCCAAGGTTATCGTGATAGCACCGGCTTGGCCTCGCCAACACTGGTTCGGCATGCTGATGGACCTGTCAGTGATGACCCCGCTGCAGCTGCCCCTCTGGCCAGATCGCCTATCCCAGTATCACGGCAGGCTCCTGCACCCAAATCTAGCAGCATTGCACTTAACAGCTTGGTTATTGCATGGTTGACTGCTGAAGTGCAGAGTACTCGGCCCACGTCCAGCAGGTCCTACTGGGTAGTAGAAAGCCCTCCACTAGAGCAACCTATCTGGCCAAATGGAAATTATTCACATGCTGGGCCTCGGCCCAACAGGTTAGGCCTGAGCAGGCCTCGCTGCAGTTGATCCTGGACTACCTTATGCATCTCAAGCTCCAGGGCTTGTCCCTTTCATCAATTAAGGTCCACTTGGCTGCCATATCAGCCTTTCACCCTCCGTTCCAGGGCAGGTTGGTCTTCGTTCATAACATGACTGGCCGGTTCTTGAAAGGTCTGGAGTGACTCTACCCCCAGGTCTGGGATCCAATCCCTCCATGGGACCTGAATCTAGTACTCGAGCGGTTCATGAGAGCTCCCTTTGAGCCCTTGGCATCCTGTTCCCTTCTTCTGCTCTTCTGGAAGGTGTCATTCCTGGTGGCGATAACTTCTGTCTGAAGATCCAGCTGCAGCTGCATCCGGCTTTCCTGTCCAAGGTGGTTTCGCAATTTCACGTGAGCCAGGACATATTTTTGCCAGTCTTCTTCCCAAAGCCTCATAAGTCTGAGGAACATAGGTTGCACTCCCTCGATGTCAGGAGAACGCTAGCCTTCTACATCAAAAAGACCAAACCATTTCACAAGTCGACACAGTTGTTCATTGCAGTGGCGGATAGGATGAAAGGTCATCCTGTGTTCACCCAGAGAATTTCATCTTGGATCACCACCTGTATTTGATTTTGCTATGATCAGGCAAAAGTGCCTCTGCCATCGATTGTAACCACCCACTTGATTGGCTCATGTGCCAATTCCAGATATCTGCAGGGCCGCCACTTGGTTGTCCGTTCGCACGTTCATGTCTCACTATGCGCTTACCCAGCAAGCCCGAGACAACGCCGGCTTCGGTAGAGCTGTATTACAAGCAGCACGTCTGTGAACTCCGAACCTACCTCCAGGAATACTACTTGTGAGTCATCTAGAATGGAATTGACATGAGCAAGCACTCGAAGAAGAAAAAATGGTTACCTACCTTTTCATAACTGTTGTTCTTCGAGATGTGTTGCTCATGTCCATTCCATTACCTGCCCCTCTGTTGGAGTGGCCAGCAAGAAGGAACTGAGAGGGCATAGGGCCGGCAGCACCTGATATACCGATGCATGAGCATGGAACTTCAGAGGGCGCCACAGCCAACCCTACAGATACTACTAAGGCAAAAGTCTCTGACAATTGTGCACGTGGGCACGCATGCACCTAGAATGGAATGGACACGAGCAACACATCTCGAAGAACAAGTTACAAAAAAGGTAGGAAACTTTTTATTTTTTAAAGGTCTGGAGCATCTCTACCTGCAAGTCCGGGATTCCGTCCCTCCCTGGGACCTGAATCTGATGCTGTCAAAGCTCGTGGAGCAATTTGAGCCTCTGGCTTCCTGCTCTCTCCTGCTTCTCTCCTGGAAGATTTCATTTGTGGTCGCAATAACATTGGCCCTGTCCAAGATCAGGGCGCTTACTTCAGAACCACCCTATATGGTCTTCTACAAGGATAAGGTCCAGTTGCGACTGCACCCAGCATTTCTGCCTAAAGTCGTTTCCCAGTTTCAAACTGGCCAGGACATATACTTACCCGTCTTCTTTCCAAAACCTCATACGTCAGATAAGGAGCACAAGCTACACACCCTGGACATCAGGAGGGTGTTGGCCATCCACGTAGATAGAATGAAGCCATTCCGTAAGTCAACGCAGTTGTTCGTTGTGGTGGCAGACAGGATGAAACATCGCCCAGTTTCTACTCAGAGGGTTTCGTCTTGGATCATGGCATGCATCCACCACTGCTATGAGCTGGCGAAGGTGCCTCTGCCAGTGATCGTGATGGCACACTGAACTAGGGCACAAGCATCATCAGCGGCCTTCCTGGCACAGGTACCAATCCAAGAGATCTGTAGGGCCACTAACTGGTCGTCTGTCCATACGTTTGCATCTCATTATGCGCTTACCCAGCAAGCTTGAGAGGCTGGCTTTGGCAGAGCAGTGCTGCAAGCTGCAAGACTGTGAACTCCAAGCCTACCTCCATGGACACTGCTTGTGAGTCATCTAGAATGGAATCAACATGAGCAAGCACTCGAAGAAGAAAAAATGGTTACCTTCAAGATGTGTTGCTCATGTCCATTCCATTACCCACCCTCCTGCCCTTCTTGGAGTTGTCAGTAAGAAGGAACTGAGAGGGCATAGGGCCGGCGGCACCTGATATATCGACGCATGAGCGTGACACTCCATGGGGGTACCACAGACGGCCCTCCAGATACCAGTAAGTCAGAAATCTCCGATGACTGCACACATGGGCGTGCCAAACCTAGAATAGAATGGACATAAACAACACATCTTGAAGAACAATGGTTACGAAAAGATGGGTAACTGTCTTGTCTGTTTCACTACCTAAATCTGTATTTTTTAAGAATGGGATATGATTGCCAGTCATAAAGAAAATAAAGAGCATTTTTCAGTTCTGAAAGCCAAGAGTTTCTCCCTGAAGAGTAACCTTTATTCTGGAAGGTGATAAGAGTGACAACTTGCTTCTGTCCAAACCAGAAATTTCTGGGGTACTTGTGATATTTCCAGTTGTGTTGAGCTTTTGAGGGTCTGGTAGTTAATGAGCTGTGTCTATCAATAATGGCTAGGTGGATTAAAACATCAGTAACTATACACAGTCCATGAGAGAACAGACAGCTGCTCAGAATGTTGCCTATTTTAGTCATGCTGTTTAAAATGTAGTTTTATTGCCTCTTTTTCAAAAGTCTTGAGCGCTTGCAGCTCTCATTGACCCCAGTGGGAGATGGGGTTATTCCAACAGCTCTGAAAATCAGGCCATTAATTTTTATCTCTTATGACTCTGTGAAGATCTTTCTGATCCCATCAACCCTTAGTTTCTATAAATATGATTACTTTTAGTTCTGTTAATGTTTTCTCTCTATTCAGTACCACTTGTTCCTGTATTCCACACTTAATTGCCTCAGCTGAGCATAGAAAGTGCAAATACTTTGAATGTGCATTACACAAAGACAGCTAGATCAACATATTATAATTACTTAAGCATGTATTTTTCATCCCTTTTAAAGTGTATGGAAGTGGTTTACTAATGTTAAAGCATGTGTTTTAAATGTAAGTGCCTTTGCAGAATCTACCTCAGAAACGAAATTTTCACAGTGACACAAAGAATGGAATAATTTTTGTTTGTTTTGGAGGAAGAGAGGGAAGAAAGTATTAGTGTCAGAAGTTCTTTGATTTTGCTCCATCTGTTACACCAGCTGGGCTGATATTTCTGTGTTCTTCAAAGCAAGTTCTGTTTTGGCATGAATGGAGAGCAGGTATATTCAGAATATCTCTCTGAAATGCAGTATAAAAAGTTCCAGCATATAACGTACCTTTGCAGTAGAACTCCTTTTGAAATCAGAAGTTGCTCTGTGGTCTGCAGGGTTTGCAAATAATGAGATTAAAAAACGAGGTTTTCTATCATTTGAGACAATACCATATCTCTCAATCTGCCAATTAGTGAAATGGAGTTCAGGTATTCTGAAACTGAGGTAGTGTGGAAGAGGGTGGAAAATTACTGGAACATATTATCTCTCCTTTACACCAGTTTTATGCTTATGTGGCTCCTTTGATGTCAGGGAAGTGACATCCATATAAAACTGGTGTAATGGAGTGGAGTTTGATTCACTGTTAGTAGAATGTGCCTAATAGTCTATGCACAATATGTAGGGATAAGTTTGCAGAAGGGTGGACTCCCATTGCGGACACAACTTGTGCCTGCAAAATGTACAGTAATATTAATGGATTTGTTCAGTTACCCAGAATACCTGTTTTAAGGAGGATTTCAGTGTTGATTGCTTTTTGTGTTTGTCTCAGTACGTTTAGCAATGTCAAATTTAATAGTTACGTTTGATGAATTTACACTAGTTTCATGTTTACGTTCCAGTTCAACTTCCTGGTCCAGCGCCGAACATTCGAGCATATGCTAATTCACCCATTTCAATCACTGTCACATGGGACACACCGTTGTCGGGCAATGGTGAAATCCAGAACTACAAGCTCTATTACATGGAAAAGGGGACAGATAATGAACAGGTATGATACCTATATCTCTCTGGACAGAATATAATGCCACATTAACTCTGATCATACAGCCATATGCCCAGTAACAATACTTTCTAGTTATAACACTTTTCCTCTGAGTTTCTCAAAACATCCTACCAATCATTTGACTGGCAGTTTGGATAATGCCAGCATATTAAGGGCTAAACTGTGGAGCTATAGAAACTGAATGTCCCTCTGAAAAGAGGAACTGTGAGTTTTATAGTATTATGGGGCTCATGAAGTATGAACATAACGGAATTAAGGCAGTATTCTATGTTCTAACTCATCTCATATAGCAACAAACTGATACATGACTTGTTCAGGCCTGATCTACACATAAAAGTTGCATGAGTTAAACTAAAATTAGTTTAAAAACAAATTAGTTAAACTAATGTAAACTCCTATGGATTTTCTTATCAGTTTACAATTGACTTGTGCTGGTTTAGCTTTTACCAAGGCAAGATGAATCGACATAATCCAATTACATATCAATATGTGTTTTCATACTGGAGGTTGCATGGTTTTAACCAAATTGCTCATTTTAAAACTGATTTTAGGTAAGCTGCACCAGCCTTTACATAGACAATGCCCCAAGTTAGCGAATGTGTATGAAGAAATATTTATGGAAGGGCAAGGCTGGATCTGAGTGGGTACTCAGAAAGTTTAAAGGAGACCTAAATACAAAAAGCCTCTCTGACTTTTGGATTTATTTCAGCAGTTCTGGTTTAAGCACAATAACAATAACTTAACAGAAGTCTCTGGCTCTATTCCCTCCACAAAGCTTTACATGTATCTCATATATCTAATTCCTGAACTGACTGAGTCCTTGTTGGGAATTAATACGAAAATGTATCTCCAGCTGTTTGTCCCACAGAGCCCTTCTCTAAGGGCCCCCACTGCAGTGGGAAACATCAAGGATCCAGTCCTCTCCAGAGGGCACCAAAAGGCTCATGCACCATCACAAGAGAATGCGTCCTGGGAGTACTTAAGAGCCAAGTCATTGAGCTTGCTAAGGAGTATTGGAAACACAGTGAGGATCTTAAGTTTAGCAATATTAACTCAGACTATGTCAAGGGGGCTTGCTAAGTTTGTAGACAGACTCGTTCCTCTTTTACGAGAGATGGAAACAGCTAATTTAATTGGTGGCTTTAATGTGATCCCTGATCTTTGCAAATATTTCCATTGCTTGAGTTCTGTGGCTAGTATTTTGGAGGAAGTGAGTGGGATCCTCTTAAGTGACTAAGCTTTGTTGACTCAATAGATTGTGACTTTAATGGAAAAAGCAACAATGCTGCCGCTGTAGCTGATTATGAGTTGGGCTGCAGGCTTGTTATGGTGGGTAAAAGAGCCATAGATAGTCAGTATTTCCCATTTGTCTGTTAATTTTTGTGTGTGTGTGTGACTCACCTTGCAGTGGTGGCTCCTATCCCACCCACAGGGCTGAGCACAGCTCGCCACCCCAGGTGTTGCAGCCCAGTGAGCAGGGTCACAGCACTGGTTAGGTTTGGCCCAGCTGCCCCTCCATCATGATGGGGCAGGGGCCAAACCTGAGCAGCACTGTGACCCAGCACACCAGGTTGCAGCGCTTGCCTGGAGCCAGGCCTGTTAGCATGTCAGCATTGCTTTAGGGATTGAGTCGCATGTATCTTTGTTCGTGAACAGGATGTTGATGTTGGAGGTCACTCCTACACCATTAGTGGATTAAAGAAATATACCGAGTACAGCTTCCGAGTGGTAGCCTACAATAAACACGGTCCTGGAGTCTCTACCCAAGATGTTGTTGTGCAGACTCTGTCAGATGGTGAGTTGCTTTATTCCAGTTTTTTTGTGGAAATCATTTGTTGATCTCTTCCGATTAAATGGATTTTTAGCCGAATAGAGCTGCAAGAGTTTCTTGTGACACTTTGCCCTGTATCATGATGTGGTTGTGGCATATGCTCATGCATGCTGAATAGACTCTGTGAGATTGTTGGAAGTGGGTGGAAGGAGATTACTATACCTGCAAAAGCATCTGCTTTTCTAATAATCAAGCAATTATTTCCCTAATATTCACATCATGGGCTAACACTTGTACAACATATCTAGATCAAAAACACAGAGAGAATACTACTGAAGCCGGTAACTCCAAATTTTTTTTTTATTTTTGAGTTTCTGTAATTTACTGTATGTAAGCAGATTTTTCACGTTAAGAGAGTTTTCATCAACCCCAGCATAAATACTTGCATTGGAATGATTAAGTCCTAGTCTTAAATTTAAAAGATGCTTCTTTGTAGTGGCACATACAGCACAGCTATGATAAATTAATGATTTCTTTGATGTTTCATATTTGTTCTTACATTTTCCCATTTTTTCTTCTCCTTTTTTCCCTTTAATAATTCACCTGCTAAGTTTGCTAGCTGATGGGGAAAAACACTGTGTATTTTTGATCTGGTTCCCATGTGGATATTGTTAAATCAGTAGTATTTATTGCTAAAAGCAGGCGATTGTTACAGTATTTCAGGCAAGCCAATCGGAAAGGGAAGTAAATTTGGCTATATTAAAAAAAATTGTTGAGTGGCCACTATTAACACTAGCTTTTACCTGTAATGCTTAGCTCTAAAATATGCTTGTAATTATTCATTCTTTATTGCCCTTCAGATACTTTTTCCCTTTTTCAGGTTTCCCCCCTACTATTTGCAAGCAGGCTCCACTTGCAGAAAATTTTCAGTTTTTGTTTTCTTCTTCTTAATCTGTTTTCATCCTTGTGAAAGAGTGCAGGACTTAATCCTCACTTATGCTGAGCTCACATTCAGGGAGAAGCCTGCCCTTCTGCCTCCCCCATGCTGAGTCTAGTCAGTCTCCAGCGTAAATTACGGTAGCCGTAGGAGGGCTCTCAATTGATGCTGTCTGGAATGGTTCCCTAGGAATTATTCTGCCAGCTAAGTATCATCAGAGTTCAACATGCTCTGATCCCAACCTATATAGCCTTATTATGCTGCAGCCTCACCCTAGCCCCTTACACTATGCTGGCTCCCTTCACTTCTATGCCAGGAGAACACTCAGCTATCCATTTGGGATAACTTTGTGAGTTTTGCACCACTGAATCAGTGCAGAGGGGACATAACAGGGTCTAAGGCTCTCTAATATATCCTTTGCTTCATTTTCTCACAGCCTAATTGTAAATGTCATGATACGAAAGTTGCTACTGTTTAACTAAAACAACAAGGAGTCCGGTGGCACCTTAAAGTCTAACAGATTTATTTGGGCATAAGCTTTCGTGTGTAGATGCATCTGAAGAAGTGGGTTTTTTACCCACGAAAGCTTATGCCCAAATAAATCTGTCAGTCTTTAAGGTGCCACCCGACTCCTTGTTGTTTTTGTGGCTACCAGATATAGACTATCCGGGTTGGAAGGGACCTCAGATGTCATCTAGTCCAACTCCCTGCTCAAAGCAGGACCAATTCCCAGACAGATTTTTGCCCAAGATCCCTAAATGGCCCCCTCAAGGATTGAACTCAGAACCCTGGGTTTAGCAGGCCAATGCTCAAACCACTGAGCTATCCCTCCCCCCGCGCGCACACATGTACGCACACATGCACACCCCACCCCCAAGACCTAATTAACTGAACGATTGCTGTGTATCATAAAGTATTCATGGTAGAACTATTTAATGAGTATATAAAATATGGTCTAAGACTCTTAAAAGTCAGATCCCAAGATCTCGTATACAATGGACCAATATCAGGGAGGAATTATATTACTTACAGAGTTTTGGAGGAGTAATTTTTAAAACATTTCTAGTCCCCAGTGCTGCACCACAGAATCTGTCGATGGAAGTGCGGAATTCCAAGGTAAGATGCTGTTAATTTGCCATTTTTGACAGGTGGGTGAGTGGTAGATGGAGCCCAGGTAGACCAAAATTTCAAGCCCCCTTAGACTCTTCCTTCAAATCCCCCCATCCCTCAAGCAGACTTTGACACATGTCCCCCTCTCCCAGATAGACTGCCCCCTCTCCAGATCACAGGGCCTGATCAGCTTAGTCCAGATCAGTCCTGTACTATCTCCCCAAGTACTCAGGTTCAGGACAGCCTTTTTCTTTCCATGTGCATCACCTGATTACTCCAACCTACATGTCCTTAGTTTCCAACCTCTTGGATAACTTTACCAGTTTTGGTACAGCTCAGGTCTTACTCTCGGAGACAGTGCCTGCTGTCTTCCGTTCATTTGTGTATGTTCTAACAAACTAGAGGAATTATGACCCTGTGTTTGGAGCAGCACAAGCTCCATTGTAGGTTAGGAGTACACGTAACTAAATAGGAGTTGGGCAGTGGCAATGCACCAGGGCTAAGCACAGAGGCTTCGTACTATAGAACAGAAGAGTTTAGATCAAATGCAAAAGCCTGAAGTAACAGAACTAGAATGTGTTCCCAGTGATTAACTACTGCCCTGTATGTTTGATTTATAATAATTTAATATGTGTGTGTGTATACATATGTGCATATAAACATTATTATGGGATAGCCTCCTGGGTACTTTAAAATAGAGAACCATGTGCACATTCATTTTTATTTTAGGCACAAAGATTTTACAATTTGACTATTTTTGCAGATTAGTTAAAAATTCTTTCCTAAACCTCCCGTTTTACTGTTTGGGGTTTTTGGTTTTTTTTGGTATGCACCAATACTTAAAGCAAGATAGTACTACATGGAGCATTAGGAATAAGCAGTTTGATCGGCTAGATGGGAGGCAGTGATTTATAATGCATTTTACCTTTCACAGAGCATCATGATACATTGGCAACCCCCTCCTGCAGGAACACACAATGGTCAAATCACCGGCTACAAAATTCGCTACCGTAAAGCATCTCGTAAGAGTGAGGTATCCGAGAGCATTGGTGGGACACAACTTTTCCAGCTAATCGAAGGTAAGCTATTTTACATCATTTAGTCAAAACTGAAAAAAGTCACAGTTATCCCCAAGCTCTTGTTATAAGGAGCTGAGGAGGTCCTGATTGTTTCTGGGAATGGCAGGTTTGGGAACAAGGTTCTATACACTCCTAGCCTTTACAGGTGACCTGAAAATGTGCTTTACGTGAGCTAATTGTGGTAAGTTTGGAGACAGCATGGGACAGCAGGTAGGGCAGGACTGAAGTCATGACCTGAGTTCTATTCCTATTTCTGCCATTGGATTGCTGTGCGTACTGGACAAGTCCCTTAAGTCCTCCGTGCCTCAGTTTCCTTATCTGCAAAGTGGAACCTTTGTAAAGGATTTTGAGATCCTTGGTTGAAAAGTGCTAATGTAAGTTTTTTATTGTTGATAGTAGAATTGTACTGAATACATCGTATAACAAAAGTAACCAGGACACTCAACACATAAGTGATTTTAAATGTTTTGTTCATTTTTTTAATCTCTAAAGTCACAAATAGCCAGCCACTGTTTTTGCTATAAGAGAGAAAATAATTAGAGCCCTGCAAATTTGTGGACCATGTTTGCAGATCAGATGTGGATACAAATTTTGTATCCATGCAGGGCTCTAAAAATAATAGCCTAACTAGATGAACACACACTTAAAAAAGGCAATTGCATGATTTGTCCCCAGATCTGCCAGCTCCATGCACAGTGAGTTTCAGTGGTGTTGTGGCGTTCTAGAGTGGAGCAGGACCTCTTCTATTTAGGGCATGTAAAGCCAAACCAAAGTACACTTAGAAACACTTGTTTTGTTTCCGTCCCATCATACCCTTGTCATTAGGGAAATTCAGCATGCAACCCATATCATTAGTACATTTAAATGGGCTCTGTCAGAACAATCTGAATTTTGTAAACTTAACATCAGTTGACAGGTCAATGGAAAATTTTCAGAGGAATGGTATTCCTTTAAAAATAGCCTTCACAATCCAGACTTTACAGCATTCTGTTGTATGAAAATAGTAAAGTGGAACTGATTAGAAATTGTTTATAAACAAAACTGAAATTGAGTGCTCTGAATAGTGCAAATACACAAATACGAGAAATAAATGCTAAACATTTATTATAATAAACTAAAATGTGAATAATGAAGGTGATGCTGAACTGATTTAATTCTAGTGTTCATTTAAAAATTAGTTGATCTGTGAAACTAATATTACTTTAGTTGTACCACAAAGATTTTACGCTCGGGGGATTTTTAAGTTTTGTTTTTTGTTTTTTCCTTGGATCGTTTCCTCCAAGATGTTACATTATCCTTTGAATCCTGGGTTTTTTAAGGCTCTTTGGATATCATCTTGAATTCTTAGCTCCCACTACATAGGAATTGCCACATTGGATTACACCAGTGGTCCATCTAATTCAGTATCTTGTCTGTGACACTGATCTGTACCAGATGTTTCAAAGGAAGGTGCAAGAAATCCCATAATGGACTAGTATGGAATAATTGCCCACAGAGGAAGTGTTTTTCAAACCATGTCAGTAAAGGTTTATGTTCTTTATTTAAAATACCTTAAATGGCACAGTGGTAGGTTTTGGGGGTAATGGTGGATGCTCTTATTCATATGTATGTTTGATACACTGTAATAGTTAATGTACACATTTATCTTCCCATTGCTTTGGTTATAGCTTGTAGATGTTTTTCTAAGAAGAATAATTCACTTTCTACATACTTTGATCACTCAATAGCTGGCACTAAATGCAGAAGGTTAGTTATAGAAATGTGGAGGTTTCTGTTCTGCAGACAAAGGGCTACTAGCGTGAAAAGTAGTCTTTCATTTATCAGCTGGCTATACATGTTGCAAACTACATTCATGCTGTTCTACCAGTGACCTACAGGGAAGGTCTCCAGAGTGCGGTAGTCCTGGGTGTCTGCTGTCACAGTCTGGCTGTTACACTATAATTTGTGTCAGTTTCACTTACTGGAGTCTCACTACAAGTAGTGCTGATTTCCATTCCTGACCTCAGGTTATGCTCAACAGCAGTCTCGAGGGTGAAAGGCCAAAACATAATGCACTTAACTTGCTGGCTCTGTTTCAGGCTCGACCCAAACGATGTCACAACAGCAGCTACAGTGTGTGCATCCACTCATTTAGTTTTGCATTAACAAGCTTTTACTGTCAGTCTGATAGTGAGATTCTTGATGTTTTAATTAGAAATTGTGATTCTTTGATCACCATTAGAGCTCCTATTTTAGTAACTTGTATATTGTTTTTATATTAGGTCTTGAGCGAGGTACAGAATACAGTTTCCGTGTGGCTGCCTTAACAAGCAATGGTACAGGACCAGCTACTGATTGGATATCAGCAGAAACTTTTGAGAGTGATCTAGATGGTAAGGCCCATAAGCATGTTTCTGACTTTAAAGACCTCAAAATTCGTGGACCAGGGTAACTACAAAATTTGGCAGATTTTTTTCCAAAGCAAACATAATTTTGCTCAGTTGTGCTTCCTATATTCTAATTGCACAACAGGACACATGCATTTTATTTATATATAATTTAAGTAGTAGTCACTAATGTAATAAAATTCCTGTCAAGAAATTGGCCTGAAAACTGAAGATGTAAATACTGCTCCTTTACTTTCCATTCTACATATTGTGTTGCCTTCCCCACTAAATAATACCCAATTACAGGGTGCCAACGTCAATTATTAATTATTCAATGTCAATTGAAAAGAAATAATGTAATTGGGTACCTGACTTTAATTCTCCACATGTTTTCACCCTGTAAAAGTGGGGGAAAAAGTTGTTCCTTGAGGCAAACGAAAGTGTGATCATATACTTATTATTTATACAGCAGGCTAGTGTTTTATGAAGCAAATAAAACACAGTGCATGCCCCAAAGAATTCCAGTCTAATGCCCCAATCTTTAAAGGTCCCGTGCTTTGGCAGACTGCTCTGCTTAGGGGGTGTCTTGTTGACTGCAGTGGGGCTGTGTGTGTTCAGTAGTCTGCCCACACGTTGTACATTGCAGGTTGAGGCCTAACTATAGTCATGGTGAAATGAATGGGAAGCACAAAGACTGAGTAGAGAAAGGGAAAATGTGTATGAAGGTAACAATAATAAGATTATGTGGTGACTTAAGTACTTAGATTCACACCCTGGTGATAGGCTGTTTCTTCTTCTACACTTCTTTCTCTCTCACCTCTTCCTTCTTTATAGTAGAGAGAGGGTAAAAGGGCATTTGATTGAGAATGGTAACTATTTGGGTCTGATGGAAGAACCGAGGTTAAGATTTTCAAAGTAGTCTAGGGAATTTAAACCCATATCATCTTCCATTTAAAATTAAATCCTCTAGATGGTTTAAAAATCCTATCCTGAGTCTCTAGGAGGGATTTGAATGAGGAAAGATGGTTTAGCTGGTGCCGTCCAGAATCTGACCAACTGCAGTTGAGTTTGGTAAGAAACAAACTAGTCTTTTAAAAAGTGTCACTTCATCATTTCATGCAAGAACTCTTAGAAACTGCATTCAGTGACAGTGTAAGAGAATATCTTGAAAAACAGAGGTGATTAAGGATAACCAATGTGTGTGAGGCCATGCTTAACTAATCTGCTGACGTTATTTGATGATATATAGCTGCCATGATAGGTAAGGGGAATTCAGTACGTGCACTATATTTTAGATTTTCAAAAAGTATGTAACAGGTTCCACATTGGAGACTAATGGCTAAGGTAAAGAGTCACAAAATAGCAGGCAACATTAGGGAGCTGGCGAGAACACTGCCTTTAGTAGCTTATACAAAAGGTAGCCACAGACAGAAATTTCAGTTTAGAAGTGGTTATGAATAGAGTCCTAGGATCAGTTTTAATAATATGTTAATCTTTTTTTGCATTTCTTTTTTTTTTCTCTTTATCACCTTCCTTTTTATTCCTCCTTTTTTGTTTAAAGCAGCCTTATACTCTGCTCACCTTGGCTCGTGGAAGATTCTCTTGTATAAGGCAATTTTATGGTAGTGTAGTGCCACCATAATGGTGCTTGCACTACCCAGCCTCCTCATGCAGTGGGGTGGCTGTGGCACCTCTGCACACAGCTGATCTCCAGTTGATGGAATGGCCCCTGTACACTGTTGTGAGAAGTTTAGAATGGACCGAGTTTGTACAATTTAATATCTCATTTTTAACATTGTATTAATGTAGTTTTTTATATTTAATAATTGTGAATTTTAATTGACCAGTAATATTAGATGGAGACCATAAGCCCTCTAGGTCAGGCAGGCCAATAGGCATGTTCTGATCTGACATCCAGATCAGTGCAGTTGGTTGAATATTTTCAATAAATAAAACACAGTTCATTAAGTGAGAAACCCTGCAGGCAGGAGCCAGCAGAACTAGCGGAATAGATTTTGTGTGTGTGTGTGTATGTGCGTGTGTGTGTGTGTGTACCTAATATTCATCCATCTTATCTTTTATTTGGAATATTTAACATCTGCCACTGCAGGTTCCACTGGATGGAGAAAGTAATGCAAATAAAAAGCAGCTATTTTTCCTTTACTTTCAAGCAATTTAGTTAAAGGTGCAGACATATATATTAAGTTTGTTTAGTTGCTTATTTTTCAATTAACAATGGTGTTAAAAGCCCTTCATTAAAATTACTTTGGTGCTATGCTTCTGATAGTGCTATGGAAATCCATCTGAACCCAGCTACACAGTTTTGACCTATTTGATTGGATCCTGATTGAGTGTTTGCTATGTTCAGACACTTAATGTGGATTCCACAGGTGCTCCTTTCTGATGATGTCTCAGCAGTAAGATTGCATGCAGTGGGCTCATAACTAGACCAGTGAGGTGATGCAGATTTATGAGAGTATTAAACATTAGCCACATAGTCACAATATGTCTGAGTACTTGCTTTGGTAAGTAAAGGGGGCTTATAGATTTAAAGAGGGACTACTAACCTTGAGTTCACTGGACAAATCACAAGTGATTTATGTAGCAAATTTAATAACTTCTTATTGGCAGTTGTCTACTTAATTCTACAGTGAAGTCATAATCTTTTTGCTATGTCATCAGTCTGTTGTCATGGAAATATTTTTGATGCCAAAAAGTCAGCAATGTGACTGTGGTGCAGTAACATACATAAGAAGTAAATGGTTCGTGAGCATGGAGTGGGGTAAATCCTTTATTTTAAGCAAATTTTGAAAAACTGCAAAGTGGCAAGGAAAATAAACAAAAGCCAGAAAGTTAAATGGATTTGTCTCTGTAGGTAATATTTTGCTCTAGTGTAAAAGTTCTCCTTTATGAAAAGTATTAGAAGTGTGAATTTCTGTATATATTAGAATATAAAATTAGGTTAATTTTGGCAGCACAAGGAGTTAAATTGGGTCTGACAAGCTTGTAAGAATACTTGGTTTCATGATTTTTGTTAATGATAAATCCCTTAAATTGCATTTTTCTTTTTGTAACAGAAACTCGTGTTCCAGAAGTTCCAAGCTCCCTACATGTTCGCCCACTTGTTACAAGTATTGTAGTGAGCTGGACTCCTCCTGAAAACCAGAACATTGTGGTAAGAGGATATGCTATAGGGTATGGCATTGGCAGTCCTCATGCACAGACTATCAAAGTGGACTACAAACAGCGCTATTACACCATTGAGAACTTGGGTAAGGAACATTCACTAACATTGTTTTCTAAATTTTAACTCTGATTTGTATTGGTATTTTCCAAGTAACAGCTTAAAAAAAAAAACAGAACTGTGTTTTTCAAAGATTCTTCCATTATGAAGTGTAGCACGGTGGGCACTCACCGCCACTGTGCCTCCTGCCGGTCATCCGGGAATTAACTCTGTTCCAGCCTCGGAGTGCCTCCTGCTGGCCGGTGTCTTCCTATTGGTGCCTCCTTCCTCCTGATCTTCACCACTTATAGCACTTCAGGCCCCGCATCCCTCCCGGACCCCTTACCTTGGGGTGCTGCCCCACAGCAGTGTCCCCACACTCTGGGTCTCCCCTCCCCGGGGAACCCCAATCCCCTAAACCCACCTCGCCTCAGTGACCCACTGCCAGTCCTCATCTAGCTCCTTCTCTCAGGGGCAAACTGCAGTCTGAAGTGGCCACTCATCATCGGCAAGGGGGTTTGGATCTGCTGCCTTTCTAGCCCCAGCTGCCTCCCTGCAGCCCTAGTACCTCCCCTGGCCTTTAGCAAGGCCTCAGCCTGGGGACTCACCAGGCCAGAGCTCCTCAGCTCTGCCTGTCTTTCCCCAGCCCTGCTCTGCCTCAGATACCCCGCTTGTTGTCCCAGGCACCCTGGCTCTCTCTGCTCCTCAGCTGGAGCCAGTCTCTCTTTCACTCCCTCAGCCTGCCCTCTTATCAAGGTGTGGCTGACTACCCAACCAGCCGCTCTTGGCTGCTTTTAACCCCTTCTTAACCAGAGCGGAGTGACTGCCCTGCTACATGAAGATTCTACATTGAGGTTCGAAACTTAACTGAAATTTATCATAAATTCTGTTTCCTGTTAAAAAGAGAAAAAAGCTAGCATCCCAAGTTCATTGAGAGGAAGCATTGATTTGTTCATACCTTGCAAGTATTAGATTTTCCTTCGAGTATTATAAGAAACCCTTGTGATGAGCACCACCCCACTGTTCTATCACTAAAAAATGAGCTCTCCAAATAAGAAAAGGTCTAAAGATTTGGAAAACAAACCCTTACAGGCTGTTTTGTGGCATCTAGGGAAAGTGCTTTGAACTGAAATGTGTGACAATACAGAACTTTATTGGGGCCTAGGATAGTAGAACAGGGCCTAGGATAATATGGTAATATTATAGAAACTGTTGGGGTATTTTTCCTCAATGTTATCTCAATCTTGCTCCAGTTAAAGACTTGGTATGAATACAGACATCCTGCAGTATGCGAGAACTCTTGTACGTTCTGATACACGAAGCATGCTGGAAGAAGAAGTCTTTGAGAAAACTCGCAGTTCTAGTTTTGCTGCTTATTGGATGCATTTCTCTGTTAACAAGTAAAGCAGTGAGTGATGTATAGAGAAACTAGAGGCAGAAAATAGAAGTAACTAACAATTTGCAATGAGAAATTGTACTACAACTACATGTGAATTTTTCTTCCATCAGATCCAAGTTCCCACTATGTCATAACTCTGAAAGCATTTAACAATGTTGGTGAAGGAATCCCACTCTATGAGAGTGCAGTGACCAGGCCTCATACAGGTAAAGGACAGTGTTTGCCTTCTTTTACTCATAGGTGAAAATTATAGCCTTGAGTCCCAGGAAACAATCAAAGACATGAGAAAATGCATAATGCAATAGAGTTTTATTCTCTGTGTCCTAAACTGGTTCACATTATTGCCTTTGTGGTTAACTTCAATTGTTAAACCAGCTATTAAACTACCCAAAACTCTATGTTTGGTTTTGGTTTTAAATTCTAGAATTTACCCTACAAAAACTTATAAATGTTCTGATTTCAGAATGTGGCTTTAACTGTGTAGTGCAGATGATACATGTACACTTTGAAAAATCTGGCCCTAATTTTTTCCTTTTATGTATGTCTCAGAAAAAGGATAGCATTTATCTTTCAAGCTGAGATGCTGATTATAATGCATGCATTCTCTGTATGATGTGTTTAGGTCTTGTTTTGCAGTAACCACATTAAATGAGGCATTAGGATAATGTTTTTCATCTTGTAATAAACCGATAATAAACCTGATATTATCTTGGGCTTTAAGCAGAGTAATGCATTAGCCTCTGTGTTGCTGTTATCCTATGTCTCGTTCTGCTTCTTGGCATTGCTAACATTGTGTAGCATTTTGGCCTTGTTTTAAGACATAATTCATCAGATGTGAACATTGTTGTGAGTTTAATCTTTCTTTTGAAGACCAGGAATTCTGCTAGGTTTTCTAGAGTACCTTGGAGTTTGAATTCCCTGAGTCACTGAATATTTCATATAACATGGATTTTTTCCCCAAAAATGCTCTGAAAGATGATACTTCTCCAGTAATCTTGTATGAAACACTAATTACTTATACCTAAGAAGTCCATCTTGTTCTTCTCATATCATTGTTTTCTGGAGAAAAAATAAGTGGATGTTTTTGAGGCAAATAAAGCCAAAGGTTTGAACTAGTATCTTATCCTGAAAGTACTTTATATGGTGATTGAAGTTCATAGACGTTAGCATGGTTACGTGATGAACTTTACAGGATATTTTTATTCATAACCTTTGCATTAAGAAGCGATCGGGATGGAATAATTACTTTGCTAATCTTATGTTCCCTATTAACTCTGGCTTTTCTCTCTTTTTCTCCATTCCTCATCTTTCATTCCATTGTATTACCCTGCATTTCCTTTTTTGTTTTTGTTTACATTAAAATGCCACATTCTCCCTTTTTAATTATAATACACGACTTTTTACCCATCAATCCTCTAGACACTTCCGAAGTTGATTTATTTGTTATTAATGCTCCATACACTCCAGTGCCAGATCCCTCCCCCATGATGCCACCGGTGGGAGTTCAGGCTTCCATTCTGAGCCATGACACCATAAGGATCACTTGGGCAGACAACTCTCTGCCGAAAAATCAGAAGATCACAGATGCTCGCTACTACACGGTCCGCTGGAAAACAAACATTCCTGCAAACACGAAGTACAAGGTACTGGAGGCTGAACAACATCAACATAGTTGGTACAATGTAATGAACACAGATTCGATGTTCTGTTTTGTGTTAATTGTGATTAGAGCGCTGAGATATTTGATGAGCAAGCAGTTTAGATTTGGGTCCAATTGAATTTGGCATGAATGGACTCCCATTTACAACAATATCCCTCAGTTTAGTAATCACTTTAAAGGTTTTTATAAACTTGATCTAACTGGACATTTTGGGGTCTATTTTTTGTCAATAGTTCTGTATAATATGGAGTGATATATCTGAGTGGATAGAAGAATAATCTCCTTTTTGGGGTGAAGGTAGGTGGAGGAAGACACTTGCAGGATTAATTTCCTCTGCTGGAGTTTGGATGCTAAAAAATAGAGAGTTTGTATTCTTCATTTGGCCTTGGCATAATCTGTTTGCGTGAAGGACATGGGCTCACCTTTATGGGGCCAGTAGCACAGTAATACTGTGTATGTTACTAATGGCTTCTCTTCAGACAGTAGTGATGGGAATCTGAATTAATGGGGTGAGTCAAACTGAAAGATATTTACCCTACTTCATGTAAAAGGAAAAAGACAAGCCTTTCGGGTCATACTAAGTTGATGATAAAACTATTTTTATGATGGTGATTGTATAAAAAATTTATAACTATTCCATTATGACATTCCCTGCTTCTCAGACTTTTCTGTATATACCATACCAGAGACAGTTGATTTCAAGATTTCTTTGGACTAACAGTGACTTGAAGGCCTGAAAAATGCTGACTGTACATTTCAAGTTAGAAATGAGCCTCAAAAGAAATGGTTATTACATTTGCCAGTTAATGGAGCTCCTTTTATGCTCCTTTACAGAGCAATCTTATTACAAACCACAAATGTTATATTGGTATGAAAAGATACATGGTTTGTGTGTTACGCCTCTAAAGGCAAGTATTATTTATGAATCCACATTCCTGAGTCACGTGCACTGGGCATCTCGGGAGCCATTTATACAGTGCTTGTAGCTTTATGAGTTAAGACCCTATCGAAGATACAGTACTATATGAATTGCTCCCATAATGCTCTGTGCTGGTGACCAGATGACTCAGGAGAGTGGATTCATAAATAATGGACCAAACATAATACATAATAATGAAATAAAATTGTTCAAAATTCCTCAATTCAAAGTGTTTTCCTCAGAATGCATAAGCATCAGACCCATTTGTGTTGCCATCATCATCTATCCCAGAGCATTAACAGTCTGTGCACTGTTTGTTTTTTCTCTGATTCAGCCACATACTCTTTACTGTTTTATGGAGCAATAACGACTGCTGATTTTCAGCCCACTAAAGGGCAAAATCTCTTGAGCAGGTCCTGTCTGTTATGCTGGTGAATTTCAGCCAGATCCTTGGTATTCTTAATTAGTATGAACTGATGAATGTGCGTTGTTGCCAAGCCCATTTCCAGTGACCTTACTATTAAGTGAACATACTGGGGCTATCAGTCTCAGTGGAGTTACTCATAGGTTCTCTGTCAGACTAATTGCCACTGACCAACCAAGTTCTCTGACTTGGAACCAGCTGGATGCAGTGTTTGCATGGCACTTTCATCTCACAGTTTCTGGCAGAGGAGGTTCAGAATTCTGACAAGCTTCTAAGGAAGAACATGCCTTGTCCCTTATCAAAGTAACCCTGTGCAGTTCATCCCATTAGGAATCAGAAGCTGCCTTCTGAATCTGCAGTTTCAGAAGAATCTTCTTATTATGCCAAGTTCCACAATAGTGTAGGCCCATGGAAGGTCATTAAGTGTAATTTTGTTGTCTCAGCACATCTCGGGTGTTCAACTCTAAGTCAATGATAGATTCTTCCCTTAAACATCTCAAGATGGGATTCCAGGAAGTTGTGTAGATCCCTTACTGCTGATCCCTTTTCAGGAAGGAGCTAGGACATCCATCAGTTAGGTGGCAGTGCCTATGTCTCAGATGACCCCAGTATGCAGATGATATATATAAAGCTTTTTCCTTCTGTTATGGAGAATAGGTTTTAGGTCTCCAGTAGATCCATCACCAGATCTGTTCCTATTTCTGAGTACATTTAGTGACTCTCATTACGGATTTGCAATTACCTCAATCTTGATGCCTCCAGTGCTGCAGATGTTCAAGCCAGTGTTTCACCCATCAGTGTCTTCAGCTAACTGCATGTTGACACAGTCCATTCATAACTTGCTGCTTTTGATTCCCCCTCGTATGTTGAAATTGGAGAAAATATTTAGAACAAGATGGGGTTGTAAACCTCAAATAGAAGTTCTGAAATTACAAATCCAGGAACTCGCTTTTCCTGAGTTTGTACGTAGGGTAACTATGAAGAGCTTCATGACACTAGAACAGATAGGAAGTATCTCCTGAAGCTGAAGTATTCTACCTGTTGCCAACCAAGAGGATGCATTGGTTTGACATGTCAGAGAGCATTTTTCAAATTGTCTTTGTTGCTTGAATGCAGTTGTCCTACACACAAAGTGCATTCATCAGATGGTGGGTTCCAAATAAGTAAACCACTCGTTTCTGGAGTTTAGCTCTTTTAGAAACCTATAGAAGGAAAATAGATTTTTGCAGGATAAAATTTATCATATATAATTATAGTACTAGTTAAGCAGTATTTAGTATCATGGGATATCACTGCCACTTTCTTAAAATAGTAAATGGAACAAAACAATGAATGAAATTGAAAGTACGGTATATCAGGCCACTCCAGTTTGTCTCCTTGGCCTTGTATTGTGTGAAAGGGCATTCAATGAAACTGAAAGGCAGGCACCAAATTTAAAACAGACAGAAGAAAATTCTTCTTTACACAATGCACAATTAACCTGTAAAACTCATACCTGCCAGGTGTGACTGAGGCCAAGAGCTTAATAGGATTCAAAAAAGAATTGAACATTCATATGGATAAAGAAGAATATCCATGTTTACTCTGGCAAGGGGGGAAAAGTATAAAGTTTATTAACTCTCCTATTTCAGGGTGTAACTTGTGTGACAGACCCAGACCAGTGGGGTACAGGAGTCTGGTAGAGGGCAAATATACTGGTCACTGGATGAGTAGTTTTCTGTTCCCTGAGTGACCAGAGCAGGGGCTGTACTAGAGTAATCAGGAACCTGCTAGAACCAGTTAAGGCAGGCAGGCTAATTAGGACACCTGGAGCCAATTAAGAAGCTGCTAGAATCAATTAAGGCAGGCTAATCAGGGCACCTGGGTTTTAAAAAGGAGCTCACTTCAGTTTGTGGTGCGAGTGTGAGGAGCTGGGAGCAAGAGGCGCAAGGAGCTGAGAGTGAGAGGGTGTGCTGCTGGAGGACTGAGGAGCACAAGCGCTATCAGACACCAGGAGGAAGGTCCTGTGGTGAGAATAAGGAAGGTGTTTGGAGGAGGCCATGGGGAAGTAGCCCAGGGAGTTGTAGCTGTCATGCAGCTGTTACAGGAGGCACTATAGACAGCTGCAGTCCACAGGGCCCTGGGCTGGAACCGGGAGTAGAGGGTGGGCCCGGGTTCCCCCCAAACCTCCCAATTGACCTGGACTGTGGGTTCCTCCAGAGGGGAAAGTCTCTGGGCTGTTCCCCAACCCACATGGTGACTCTCTGAGGCAAGAAAATCCGCCAATAAGCGCAGGACCCACCAAGATAGAGGAGAAACTTTGTCACACTTGCCTTATGGACAGATTATTACCTAATTGTCCAGACCAGAGTGACTTGTTCCTCTGAAGCTTCTTGTACTTGCTACTGTCAGAGGTTCGATATTGGGCTAGATGGGTCATGATCCTCTGTGGTACTTCCTGTGTAAAGCTGATGAAAACCACTTTTGAATATGTGATTTCATGTTAGCTCAAGTACTACAAATGGAGTACTTTGCTTTTTTTTAAAGTGGCAGTCAGTAAACAATTACAAGGAACTATTAACCTCTAGGTTGCAATAACTGCTCCACCCAAGATTAAATTTTCTTAAAAGTAGGTTGCTTTGCCTATGCATCTAATATTTCTTGGTAAGACTGATTAAAATTGAAATTTCTAACAGTCATTTCCCCTGTCTTTATTCTTTCTCTCCTTCATACTTAGGGCCCTATCAAATTCATGGTCCATTTTGGTCAATTTCACAGACATAGGATTTTAAAAACCATAAATTTCATGAGTTCAGCTATTTAAATCTGAAATTTCATGATGTTGTAATGGTAGGGGTCCTGCCCCAAAAAGAATTTGTGTGTGTGTGTGGGGGGGGGGTAGCGAGGTTATTGTGTGTGTGTGTGGGGGGGGGGGTTTGCGGTACTGCCACCCTTACTTCTGCGCTGCTGCTAGGGGCGGCCCTGCCTTCAGAGCTGGGCAACTGGAAAGTGGCAGCTGCTGGCCGGGAGCCCAGCTCTGAAGGCAGAGCCACTGCCAGCATCAGTGCAGAAATAAGGATGGCATGGTATGCTATTGTCACCCTTACTTCTACGGCTGCTGCCTGCAGAGCTGGGCCATCAGTCAGCAGCCGCCGCTATCCAGCCTCCCAGCTCTGAAAGCAGTGCAGAAGTAAGAGCGGCAATGCCGCAACCCGCCTAAAATAATCTTGCGACCCCCCCCCCCCCCCCCCCCCCCCCCCCCCCCCCCCCCCCCCCCCCCCGCAACCGTCTTCTGGGTCAGGACCCTCAATTTGAGAAACGCTGGTCTCCCCTGTGAAATCTGTATAGTATAGGGTAAAAGCACACAAAAGACCAGATTTCACAGTCTGTGACATGTTTTTCATGGCCATGAATTTGGTAGGGCTCTATTCATACTGATCCTGATGAAACCGAACTAGTCAAATCCAAAAATAGCTTTTCATTTCTTTGAACATTCAAAGCACTCTGTGACTCCATTTCATTTGGCAAATAGAAATTTTCCTGATCTTTTACTGGGATACTTTAAAAAGGTTTCATTGTATACTTTACATCAGAAATAAGAGTTTTATTGCCTTTAAACTTCTGTCCTTTTCATTCAGACGGTATTCTCTCATTATTTTCAAGGAATGTGACTTTATAGATGCTTCTTTTTCTAAAGGTAAAGATTATTACCTGTAAGTAAAATTCTCTGAAGGTAGCAATTATTTATGGCTATATATTCACATTGTCCAGTTTTGAAGTTGCCAGTCACTTCATTATGCTTTTAGATTAGAGGTAGAGCCAAATAAGGAACCAGTTATATTATTTATGTATGCATCAGGTATACTATTTATACTCAAGCCACATACAGTACATACTGGACAGTTTAGCCCAAAGGCAGAAATGGTAACTAAATGAGTCATATTTCTGATTACCTGTGCTGGAGGCCATGAGTGATTTAAGAAAGTCTGTCCACAGATGGTCCTCCTTTCTGCAAACCAGCATACAGGTATAGAAAATAAAAACATTTTTTTCCTGGAGTCTCAGAGAACCAACATTTTTTAGCTAGTTTTTGAACTCATTAGATTTCATCTTAGAATTCTGACATAATTTTTGAAAAATACTCAAATTGCAAGATGGATTTTTAATTTTAGCTTCCCTTTATCATTCTTTCCCATAGTTAGTTCATTTAGTGGAGCACTGTAAATTAAACACCACCAGTAGACAGCTAAAAGTCTTGCTGCATAACAAGTATGTCCTAGACCTTGTGCATTTACATTTATGATCGACTAGTATTGAATGCTCTTGCTGATTACAAAAGGAACTTCTCGTTTCAGATAGAGTAAATGATTAATGAATTTGCATGGTAGAGCAAAAAAGAATATTGAGAGAATTAATGGCTATGGTTTTCAAGTGTTGGTAATGTTATAATAATGCTTTAGGCACTTACCTTAGCCAAGCGTATTTGACACCTTGTAAATGGTGTTTTTTGCTTCAGAAGTTCCTTATACTTTGTGTTTCTTTCAGACTGCAAACACAACCACCTTGAGCTATTTAGTGACCAGTTTAAAACCAAACACCTTGTATGAATTCTCTGTGATGGTGACTAAAGGTCGAAGATCAAGTACTTGGAGTATGACAGCTCATGGAACTACCTTTGAATTAGGTATTCACTTGTGTCTTTCTGGAACTGTTAACCATTTCAATGAGATGAATAAAGTCAGTCCTACCCCAATGCTGATTCTTTGCATAGACTTAAAATGGCAGTCCTCTGCTGTTGCTGATGTGGGATTTGGGGGAGGGAGGGAACAGAGTGGGGGCATTCCTGATATTAATATTCTTTGAAAGTCAATGAAGGGGAGATTACATAAAAGAGAGAATTGTGATCAAATTACAGAAAATAAATGGATAAAATGATCTGCAATTAATGGATGGGAAAGAAGAGAAAGAGACATATGTTTTAAATATCTGAGAAATCACATCTTAATAGCAGCTACTGAGAAAAACCTTGTAATTAATAATGACAGTTTGCTTAAATTCATTAATTATAGAACAAAAATGAGATGAGCCAAACTATTCTGAGAACTTTAGTGCATAGAAATTTAGTTATCAAAATCAGCCCTAAATTCGTCATCTCCTCATGAATTGCCTAGGCAGCTATCAGAACTATAGGAGCTGTAAACTGTGCTTACAAACTACAGAACTGTTGATAGCATTACAGCTGCTGGTAGAAGCTGATGCCTAATGAGCATCTGTAGGTTGCAGAACCCCTCTGCCCCAGACCTGTCCCCCGGTATCTTATTTTTCACCTGCAAGATTGGTCAAAGAGCAGGGAGCATTCACTATCTCTATGTTAGCTTCCAGCTATTTTCACTTTAGCTTAAATTTAGCTTTCTTAGAATCATAGAACCATAGGATCAGAAGGGAACACAAGGCTCATCCAAGACAGATGTTTATCCAGACTCTTTTTTAAAACCTACAGTGAAGGAGATTCCACGATTTTCCTTGCCAGTCTGTTCCATTGTCCTACTGTTCGTACAGTTAGGAAGCTTTTCCTGAGATTTAATCAGTGACGTTATATGAAAACATGAAAATCTCAGCTTTCATTTAAAACATAAAGTAACTTTCTAGTCCTTGTGTTTGTGGAGAAAAACTTGAAAACATGACCTTAGTGTGCCCAAAAGGCTCAAAAACCAGAAAACAAGTAAAAAAGTACTCCTAATGTATCTTTTTTTTTTTTAAAAGGTTCATGATTTAATCCAGTCTCCTGATTTTAGGTCCCTAACTGATGATTTTTGAACAGTTGGGGTTGGCAATGCTGCATAGGACTTTTTCCTCAACTACTGCTGAAGAAAGGTTTGTTCTTCTTCAAGTAGTGTCCCTATATGTGCTGCAGTGTAGGAGTGCTTGCATCCCTGTGCTGGTGATCGGAGAACTTTGCTAGAAGTGTCCGTTAGGCCTGCATATGCACTGTCTCTCTTTGTGTGCTGTCTCTCCAGCTCGCGTTGACTAACCCCCCTCAGTTCCTTCTCAACCACCCCAGCAAGAGATGAAGTCATTAGCAGTCCATTAAGACTATCACTTAATTTACATACCTATAGTTAGTTGGTCTACTACTTATAGTTCTAGTTGTAGTCATCTTCTCCTTTCTTATTTTACCCTTGAAAATAAAATAAAAAATACATTAATTTCTTTCCCGTTCTTTCTCCCGTGTTGGGGATCCTTCCCACCCAATGGGGTATGCCTGGTTCGTCAACTTCAGAAAGTGCCTCACTTTTAAAGAGGCCATCCCGATTGCAGACAAGCACTCTCAGTGCATTCACTGCCTCGGGGAAGGCCATACACAACAGAAGTGTGGTCTTTGCCATCAACTCCAGCCAAGATCCCGCAAAGACAGAGCTCTGCCAGAAGATCATCTTCATGGAGGCAGCTCTCTGACCCCAGTCGCCTGATAGACATGAACCTTCCCCGCAGCATTCTACATCTAAGGGCTGTGGGTCAAGGAAACAGGCTGCAGATCCCTCTCATAAATCATCTAAGAAGAGGGTGGGAAGTCCCCACAGTGATCCCCAAGATAGCCATAATCATTCACCATCTCACTCGGTATCTTCGGCATCACCAGCACCGAGATTATCTCAGTCCAGCACCTATGGATCACAGAGACCGACAGCAACTGAAACTTCTGACAGGCCTACAGACCCGATGGGCATGGGCACTGAGTCATCAGCCCTGAAGGACCGGGGTAAGCAATCTTCTAAAAAGATGCTCCTGATTGGCACCAACAACGATGGCTCGCCCAGCACTGGCGCAACTAGTCTGGACAAGATCCCCGTCCTCCCTGGCACCACCACCAATGCCGGGACAATCAGTACCGGCAGAATCCCACCATTCCAGAGACCTCCACGTGCCGGATGCACCGGAGTCCCCATCTCTTGGTATCAAGACCTTTGCACCAAGCCTCCACCGAGTATGGGAAGTATCCCTGTTGCCGTGCCATGCCCCTCTGCCCTCTAGTGAGGGTTCAGACAGTGAGCCAGAGGAGGTAGTGTTGCAGTACTCCTCCCAAGCTCCATATGGTGCTTACTACCAACAGAGACCAAGGATATACACACAGATGGCCCCACCAGCACCATCCTGGTATGGCCACCCATGGGTGCCATCGCTAGGCTCTATGCTACCACCATCCCAATGGCTATATTGGGACCCTTGGGTGGCGCACCGCCAGCATGCCTCTCAGTCTTCGAGCCTTGCCCAAGAACCCTGGAAACAGGCCCCCCTTGGCCGCAGCATCCAGAGCTTCAGAACCGCCTCAAGTCATAGAGGAACAGCAAGCTGGTATAGAGGGGGAAGCGACACCAAGGATCATATCGTCTTATTCTCCAGATGAAGCCATCATGCCTCTTCCACCATCTTTGGCAGACAACTTTTGTCTCTCCCAGGAGCTGGCAAAGAGAGTGGCAGTCATTCTCTAGATACCATTGGAGAAAGTCATGGACACTCCTTGACATTCTCCACTCTGCCTCCTCCTCAAGGATCACCCTCCTGATTAATTAAGCCATTTTAGACCCAGCAAAGACCAACCTGCAAGTAAGTGGACAAAAAATACTATGTCCCCACTAAGGAATCTGAATTTCTATTCTCCCACGTACCACCCAACTCCATCGTGGTGGATGCCGTCAACTTCCACGACCGATCACACTGTCGAGCTACTCCCTACGACAGGGACTGGAAGCGCCTTGACCTTTTCGGTAAAAAAGTGTATTCCTCAGCCATTGTACAATTCCGTATCGCCAACTACCAGGCCCTCATGGCGAATTATGATTACATAAATTACTCAAAACTGAATGACTTTATTGAAAAGATGCCAGAAGCACATTGTGGCCAAATTTAAGGCCTTTATCCAGGAGTGCCAATTAATGGCAAAGACATTGCTTCAGTCTGCCCTCAACGTGGCTGACACAGCGGCTGGGTCTATCTCCACAGATGTGGTGATGCAAAGAGTGTCATGACTCCATTTGTCAGGCTTCCCGAAAGAGGCACAGTCCACTGTTGAGGGACCTTCCTTTTGAGGGCATGAAGCTCTTCGCCAGGAAGACTGATGCCTCCCTTCACAACCTGAAGGACTCCAGAGCTACCCTCCGATCACTGGGTATCTATACATGGAACAAAAGAGATGATTTAGTCCCCCATCCCCGTGTAGAACACACACATCTCAGTACCAACCTCAACACCACTACGAGCTGCAAAGGAAGAAAAGGAAATTCCCTAACCACAAACCATCTGGTCCACAATCTTTGTCCCAGCCCTTTACATCTAAGCACCACTTTTGACGAGCCGGTCAAGGAGCCATTAGACCACTCCCTCCGACTGACACAGCCGACCATGCCAATTTGGCCACTGATTGGCAGCATTCCACATCACCCGGGAATGCATAATGTCGGACCAATGGGTCCTAGAGGTGGTTCAAACTGGGTACTTCATGCATTTTACCTCCCTACCCCTTCAACAACACCCTTCTCGGTCCCTCTTCACGGATCCTTTTCACAAAAGTTTACTACAAGAGGTAGATCGTCTCCTATAGTTATGAGCCATTGAAACAGTACCTCAACATCTACAAGGCAAGGGGTTCTATTCTTGTTATTTTCTAATACCCAAAAGGAAGGGAGGTTGGAGACCCATACTAGCCCTCAGAGCTCTCAATAAGTTTGTCAAGGCTCAAAAATTCAAGATGATCACCTTATGAAGGATCATTCCAACTTTGGAAAAGGGAGACTGGTTTTCGACCCTGCCATACCTATCAATGAAAACGGCCTTTCTCACAGCAATTACCTTGCCAGGAGAATAGGAGAGAGAGCGGCTCTGGTGACACATCCCCACTACATGGTATTTTTTCCAGACAAGGTTACTCTCAGGCCCCATCCAAAATTCATCCCTAAGGCAACCTCCCCGTTTCACATGCATCAATTGATTAACCTTCCAATCTTCTACCTCAAGCCTCACCAAGACAACAGGGAGGCTATATTACATGCTCTAGATGTCAGGAGAACCCTGGCCTTCTATCTGGACAGGACAAAGTCCTTCAGGAAGTTCTCTAGACTTTTGCTCTCCATTGTGGAAAGATCCTAGTGCTCAGTTACAGAAGGCAGCACTGTGGAGCCGAAGATGGCATCAGATGTGGAGTCCCACTATGATCACATAGTGTTCTGCGAAAGTGTGCCCAAAGGCTCTCCAAGTGGGTCTCAAATTGCATCAGCTAGTGTTATCAAGTTCGCAACATAATCCCTCCAGACTCTATTCATACACATTCAACAGGGTCGATCTCCTCATCTATTGTCTTCTTCAAGAATGTCCCTAGCTCAGAGATCTGTAGAGCAGCGACATGGGAGTCAGTTCACACTTTCGCAGAACACTATGTGATCACTGGGACTCCATCTCCAATGCCATCTTCAGTTCTGCAGTGCTGTCATCTGTAACTGACCCGACTCCGAAGTCCTGGCCTTCCAGAAGGGATACTGCTTGGGAGTCACCTACAGTGGAGCATCCTTAGGGACACTACGTGGAGAAGAAGTTACTCACCTTGTACAATAACTTTGGTTCTTCGAGATGTGTCCCCCTACGGGTGCTCCACAACCCACCCTCCTCCCCTCTACTTCAGAGTTCTTGTCTATGACTCTGTTGTAGAGAAGGAACTGAGAGGCGTTAGCCCACGCACACTGGCTAGCCTTGTGGCACAGCACGAGGAGAGACAGTGCATGTGCAGGCCCAATGAACACTGCTACTGAAGTTCTCTGATCAGCAACGGAGGGACACAAGCACACCTATAGAGGAGCAACCACAGGGGGACACATCTTGAAGTGCCATTGTTACTGCACAAGATGAGTAACTTCTTGTTGTAGTTCAAGCACAGGCCTGGAAATCGGAAACCTCCTGAGTTCTAGTCTTGACAGTGTTCCTGGTTCTCTCATCCTAGCCTTGTCTAAGAGGTTGATTCATGCTTAGCTTAAGTCCATCCCTGTTCTGTAGAGCACTTGAACACCTTTGCTCGTTTGTTGAATTGGGGCAATAGTTACTAACCTTTGAGCCTCACTTCCCCCATCTCTATAGTGGGGATAATAATACTTAGTAACCTAACACAGGGGATGACAGGAGGATTAATGACCAGGAGGTAACATACATAAAGCACTTGGAACAGGAAAAGCACTATTACAACACTAACTAGTACTCTTACTGAATTCAGTTTCCATGGCAGATGTAGTTTGCTAAAAATTACATAATTAGAAGTCTGTTTTTTATAGTTATATAGTTCCAAGGCATAGCTGGTTATTTAATTGCACCTTTGGAGAGATCAGCTCTATGCATTTCATTACCATTAATCTGAGCCCCATCTGGGTGTTTCAGTTCACAATAAGATTCTGATTCACACATTTAAGCCTTTAACTGGGGTAAAAGGCCTGTATCGTTTCCTCATTTTTGTGCAGGAGGGATGGTGGGGAGAAGACCTCTGCCTCAAGCTACTAAAAAGAAAAAAAGGGCCATGTATTCATCATATCTGTTTCCAGAGTTCAAATAAACCTCAGTTAAAAGAGAGCAAGAGAGATAACACCTCTGTAGATGCAGACTTCCTTGCAAGCCATCCAGAAACCTGTAGTCAAAGTGAAGGGTCTCTCAGAGGTTACAATTAAAAACCTCCAGGAGTTTACCTTGGTGTTTCAAATGTGTTCATGGTGGAAAATTGCCTTTGCAAGATCTGAGCCCCAGAGCAAACATTTTTGTATAGAGATAAATTTTATCTTTTATGTTTTATTATTTTACATAAAAACAAAACATGGAATGGTGTCTTTACAAGTTGATGGGATTTCAGGAATGTTAAACTATTGTGGACTACCAGTCAGTACTCTTAACTAGTAGCTTTGCTTCTACAAATATATTGTCTGTTTAACAAAAAAAAAGACAATAATTGAAGACACACGTTGTTTATCCAATCATGATCCACAGCATCTGTTGGTCTGTAGAAATAGATAGCTCCTTAAGGAAAGGAAATATTATGCACCATATGGCATTGGCCATTTTAATGGAGTAAATCATTAAAACTGCTGCCCTAGAATGGTAGATTTACCTTGCGATTAAACATACTGGGTTTCTATTGCTGGGCACCCATACTTCTGTGGCAAAGCAAGTTTAAAAGGATGGTTATGAGATCATTTACATGCATTCAGTGAGATCACTTACATGCTTCTAATGAATGTTTGGGGTTTTTTTGCAGTTCCTACGTCTCCACCAAAAGATGTGACTGTGGTGAGCAAAGAGGGAAAACCTAGGACAATAATTGTAAACTGGCAGCCTCCTTCTGAAGCCAATGGCAAAATTACAGGTGCAGTTTGTGTGTGCTCTCTGAAGTGATCCTGTGTCCTTATTTTTGGTTTACTGAGCTTGGGAGGGTAGTTCTAGGAGATAGGATATCTCCATCAATTTTAATTTAAGTTGTTTTAGGTAGATTTGCTGTATGTTTGCCTACTTTCAGCTCCCCATCCACCCCACGTCTTCAGTATTGCATAGGCAGGTTATTTAGTTGGTGCTTGGGGTTGAGGGGTTGATTCTGTGCTCTGGCTGACTCTGACAACAAGGCAGGATTCAAACAGTGTATGATGTATGCCAGTAAAATGTACTTCCTGCCTAGAGCCAGAAAATTGGGGAAACCTAAGGGTGTTGTTTTAGAAAATCTTTGAAATGGAGAGTCCAAGTAAACAGAACTCTGAGGGAAAGGAAACTTGTAACATCCATTTCAGTAACCTCTTTAAAAAATGTCTTATGTTTAATATGGTCTGATAATGAGTCCTTGGACAGCAAGGAACAAGGGTTGTGTATCCTTTTGGAAAGAAGAGACTCTCCTCATTGCAATAGTGCAAGTCTCCTGTTTCTAGCTTTCATTCTGTACTAGTGGACTTTAAACCTGAACTGGTCTGAGTCTGAAAATCAGTTACTCCACATTTAATCACTTGCGAATTATGCAGCCATCTCAAATCCATGCCAATAAAATCTTTATACCACCCCATCAAGTGTTCCATGTATGTGTATGTGAAAAAGAAAGAGACAAACTTAGATTTTTAATCCAAAATTGTTATAAAAATCCAGGCACAAAAGTTGCTTCCCCACTCTTAAAATTATGATGAAGATGAAAAAAATAATGTGTTTGCTCACCTGGATTAAGCAGAATTTTACAAGACTAAGCTTTATTATTGTTTGAATGTGCAGCTATCACAGCTGAATGTTTTAAAAATGTTTTGTAATCACGTTTGCAATCACATTATAAAAGGGAATCTGATAAAATGATTGCATTATGTGAAGCATTAGAATTCCCTTTATATGTCAGTTGTATGCCAATTCCACATTTTACAGGAACATGTGAACAGACTGTCCTCTGGTGGATTGAATAGAAAACAAGATACTAAATAGCTCACAAAGTGAGCACTGGCCTTTCTGTGCACTGAGGGAGACAGGGTCCTGTGGAAAAAACAGTATGTGATCATGTCATTAAAGACTGTATCATAATGCATACGCACAAAAGGGGTGAATTAAGGTTGCACAGGCAACTTTATTTGTAGCATTCCCTAACTTCTACTGGCTTGTTTGCAACCATAATAATGTTTTTTTTTTAACATAACTTTAGGTGTCTTATATGCAGGGCCGGCTCTAACTTTTTTGCTGCCCCAAGCAGCAAAAAAAAGCGCCGCCCCCCCCACCCCCCACCGAGCGCCGCGCCACCGGAGCCCACCTCCCCCGCCAAGCGCCGCGCCACTGGAGCTCCCCCCACCCCCCCGCGGAATGCCGCGCCGCGCTGCCCCCCCCGCCACCCCAAGATTGGCCGCCCCTTACCAGGTGCCGCCCCAAGCATGTGCTTGGTTGCCTGGTGCCTGGAGCCGGCCCTGCTTATATGTAAATAAACATTAAGAAGTGCAATTTCTGGGTTCTACAGGCCTTTGTTATACAATATATTGAAAATACCAACCAATTAATCGAGACAAAAATAAAGAGTGTTGTCTTCAATTGCATTAATCTCTGGATTTGATTGCCACTTTACATGCTGCTCCTTGCTTAGGGCAGATCTTAGCTGCATTGCACGGGACCAGCCCGGGGAATAGAGGTGGGTGCCACCCACCTGCATGGAAGAGGAAGTTACAGCTCTGTGGAGTACGCAACCCCTTCCACTCTTCTACCGATGGTACGGGTAGTCCATGCAAGGGAGAAAGGGGACATCAGATATCCCCTTGTGCAGGTGCATAGGGCTACTGATATTTAGCCCTGTATTTGTTAATGAGTATTTATTTTATGCCATTGTTTCTACCCATTCACTGTCATTAAATATATATTATAATCATGTTGCCAGTTCATCATGGTGCCATACATACAGTATATTCAATAAAAGATTATGTTGATTTAATATACCTTTACAGGCAATATGCAATTCTCTTGAGGTTTACGTTTTTTCGTTGTTAATATAAACTGAGAGATAGCAAAAAGTTGTAACTACTTTTTTTTTATTTATTTTTAAGCTATCATTTTTCTCTAAACTGCTAATATTTGAGGAGGGAACATTCTTATAATAGTCCTCAAATTATTATTTTACATTGTTTTCATATGTTTGGAAAAGAAGATGGAAATAATGGAATTCTCTGTAATTGAATGTAGGATCATTTTGATATTTTAAGTGGCATTGTTATACTTTATGATATAATACAACGGTTTAAAATTTCCCATAGGATGTGTATTTAATATTTAAATGATTGCTTATATATTGAAACAAAGGAGGTTGCGGTTCTCAAAAGCCCCTCAGTGGTTTAAGAGCACCTATTCCATCTAAAGTCAATAGGACCTGTGCTCTGGAGTCATTTAAGGAGCAACAAAAATCCCACCCTTTAATGCATAAATTTTATCTTATTGGTACCTTTGAACAGGATACATCATTTACTACAGCACAGATGTGAACGCTGAGATACATGATTGGGTCATTGAGCCTGTGGTGGGAAACAGATTGACACACCAGATCCAAGAGTTAACCCTTGATACGCCATATTATTTCAAAATCCAGGCCCGCAACTCCAAGGGCATGGGGCCTATGTCGGAGGCAGTACAGTTCAGAACACCCAAAGGTAAAATCTCATGTATGTTCTCCAGCATTTCCTAAAATACCTGTAGGAAAAGCAACTGGGAGCATCAATTCTGTATTGAATATGGGCTGTGGAGGAAAAGATGAAGTTTGATTAGGGAAGATGTTTTCTCTTCATTCTTCCAGCAGCTCTTGGCTGGAAACAAACGCATAACCCAGTTTAAACCCATATGTTTGTGGAGATTTATTTTTAAATTAATTATTGGCCCATATGTCACCAAGCTGTTATTACATAGTCAGTGCCGTAAGTGAGCTTCAGAAAAACTGACTTCTAGTTACCTAAAGACTTCAGGTGCAGTGTGTTGCATCTGCCCAACAGTACAGGCAGCAGGATTTGCAAATAAGTTCTTATTGGTCTGCGAACAATTACATGGTAATGTCATGGATGATATAACATGAACAAGTATGATATAACTGCCTCTTTAATCAAGAGATGCTTGTTCATGGGTAACTAGTGAAAGGGTAGGAATGAACAAGACATTGAAAATATGTACCAATTAAGGAAACATGGAGAAATCATTGTATAGGACAGATGTTAATGTAGATAATATCTGTAAGGAGAGGTGAAAAATAACCTTGCAAAAAAGGTATGTGTCGATTTAATATCTAGGAGTATTGTTTCTATGTGAGTTTTGGTGTTTAAAAATGGAAGTTTAAATCTCTAACTAGTTTTTTTCTGCTGTGTGAAGTTCTTTAAATACTGCCTGTCACTTCTTCAGCCTTGGTGATCTTTCTCTTGTTTTTTACTCCCCTGTGCTTATCCTGGTAGCTGAATCCTCAGATAAAATGCCTAATGATCAAGGTAAATAAATGGACATTCTTTCTCCTCTATTCCATCTCTTTCACACACTACTGTGTTTCTTTTCCACCTGCAATTGCACTTGATAAATGAAACACACATCAGCTGCTCTAAATATAACTGAGCGAGCTCTTGTGGAGCTTTTATTAGCAGAGGAACTAGAGATTTTATTTGTGGTCTGGATGTCAGGAATGTAAAGTGATCTCCATAGTCAGATGTCACATAAGGGGAGAAGTGGGTTATGCCAGCCCTGAATCATTCTGTTAAAATGGATTTGGATTAGGTGATACTCAAGTAGAGCTCTGACCAGTGAACCCTGGATCTCAGCACAGAGAGGTAGAAGACCAAAGAACACTTGCTGGATTAGCACAAGTTCTGTTTTGTCAGCTCTACATCTGTTATTATTTTTGCAGTATATAAAAGTAGCCTTAGTCTTGTTCAGCTTTCTGCATGAGAGAGTCTGCCGGTTGGCTCATTTAGAGATCAGTCTCCACTAGGAATGCAACAACTTTAGCCACCAAAACCTTTAAGCTTACTAACTTGACAAATGGTAGCTTTGAGCTTGCTGTGTGGAGCTGGGGTCTGTGGTGAATTTTTTAGGGCTAATTTTGCTTTCTTCCAAATCAGGTAAACATCCCACTAATAAGGAGAGAAATGTATTTTAGTGTTTGGGGAGGAACGAGTTTAAAAGGATACTGGCAAAGAATTTAGGCATATGATTAACGCTTAAAGTAAAAATGTGTTCCATGTTATAAATATATTTTTTTAATCCATTACTGAGAAATATTTTGTAAACACTGTTTATTTTACCTGTTCCAAACCAAACAGAGATGACTGAGGGCAGCTGAGGAACAAACTCTTATCCAGCCTTTGGTTGCAAAAACCCTGGCTGCTATCCCAGTCTCTATCCCAAAGGGATGGGAAAGACTAAAACTTTGTGTTTTAAATAAAAGTTGCTGCACTGTCTCTTTTGCACTGCTCTTCTAACCTCAGTTCTGCACATAACTGTCTTCATGTCCTTCATACAGCATGAGCATCCTAAGGGAGGAAAGTTTTATCACAGTAACATTTTGTTAGTGTTCATAATTGCATAGAACTTTTAATTCAAAAATGCATATATGAAAAGCAGGAGACGTTTGTTTTATAATTCCTGTAAATATAATAGAGCTTTGAAGAGGTGACAAACTAGGAGCAGTGGGTGAAATGAAGAAAAGGAAAGCATAGGCTGAATAGCAGAAAAAAACTTCTTGACGACAAGATCTGTTAGACTGTGGAATAGTGTCTCTCGAGAAGTGATGGGAAAAGCACTGGAGAATATAGGGAACAAACCAGCCCACAGTGAGTGGACTGAATCTCTGACCTCTTTGGTTCTTCTTATTTCTGCCTTAGCCACATATTGATGGGTATGTTATCTCAGAATACATTTTCAAATCTTTTTCCCACAGTGTTTCTCCTTACGTACATAGTATGATACTTTGCCCCTCCATTCTCCTTCCTTGTAGCACAGGTGTTGGCACACAGTAGAACAGGTTCCCTGTTGAAGCTGTCTGTGTGTTGCACATTGGTCAAGTACAAAGACAAAAGGCAATGTGTGTAGTACACAGTAGAGCTAACCTACAGTAACAAAAGGTAATAGTGTTATTTTCAGCTGTAGCATACTTATGGAGCACTCTCAAGACAGCTAGCCTAAAAAACTGACCTATTAACACTGGAAAGTCTTTAAGGATTGCAAACAAATTTTATTTCTACCAATCCTTGCTGAAGAGGGCAACAGAGAACCTCAATACTTCCAGTACAGCTCTCTGCAAACAGTCTGGTACACATCCTCTAGGACCAAAGATGGGACATGTACACTAGCTAGTTCATAGTGTCATGTTGAAAATAGAGGAATTTATTCTAATTCTTGCTGCAGTGATGATCAGTTTTGGAGGAGAAGAACAATTGCTTGCAATCCTTAGGCTAGTGGGCCCATTTCTCCTCTCAATTACAATGGTGTAAAACTGCTGTGAGAGGATGATCGGGTTCAGCATCTTGCAGATAGAACTGTTGTCAAGGTAGCATGAGATGTGAAAACTCCGAAGAGTTGAAAGGATAATCTATCAATCCCTCATTCTAGGAATTAGATATTTGCCAGACTGACTGAGAGTCACTATGCGAAAGGGGTCTAGATTAGTCCATTATGATCATCTAGTCTGACCTCTTGATGCATAACACAAGTCATAGAATTTCACTCGGTTGTCACTGCATAAATTGTGGTGAGCTATAGACACGTCAACATGTGATTGAACTTTAGAAGAACATCTAGTTCTTTGAGTGCTTGCTCATGTCCATTCCATGTTAGGTGTGCACACATCACATGCACCGTTGCTGGAGAATTTACCGTCAGTGGTATCCATCAGGCCAGCTCTGGTGCTGCAAGCTTATGCACTAGTATAAGGGGCCTAGCCTGCCCTGCACCCTCTCAGTTCCTTCTTACCACCCATGACCATTGCTAGAACAGCTTCTCTTGCTTTGGCAAGGCTGTCATTCAGTGTTTTTTTTTCCTGTTATTCTCTAGATTAGTTATATTAGTCTTAATTTCATGTAATAGTGTACATAGTTAGATAGAATTAGTGTATATACACCTCTACCCCGATATAACGCTGTCCTCAGGAGCCAAAAAATCTTACCATGTTATAGGTGAAACCGCGTTATATCGAACTTGCTTTGATCCGCCAGAGCGCGCAGCCCCGCCTCCCCAGAGCGCTGCTTTACCGCGTTATATCTGAATTTGTGTTATATCGGGTCACGTTATATCAGGGTAGAGGTGTAGTTAGGACCCCCCCCCCATCTTAGCTTAGAGGGGCTTCTTTCGCCCCTGGAGCTGGGAATGCTCCAGGCTTCAAACCCTGCGTCTCCTGCAGCAGGCGTATGCCAGTGAGCAACCCACACTCCAGCTGTATAAAGTGTCTGGGAAAGGTGCACATATGACAGTGTTGCCAAATCTGCTGGGATTTCAAGCCGCATAGAAAGAAGAACAGGGAGGCTAGACTAAAGGCTATCCTAAGGGAAGTTGCACTTAAACCAGCATCAGAGCCAAGCTGATTGGACTCAGCTACGAGCACCTCGGCTTTGATGCAAAGAGTATCTCCGGCACCGCATGCTTCTCGGCACCATTCTCCATCTCCGGTACCAAGAAAGAAGCATAAGAAGCAGCGGTCTGAGAGGGGATGCTACCCGGTACTGAGGAAGGACAAACAAGGGGAGTGCAGCGGAGTACAACCCATGTCAGGCTGCACCTCCACTGCACGTTAGCGGCACCATCAGTCATCCCTAATCGCAAATGACATTGAGTCCAGTGCAGGACCATCTGCTGATGCTAGGCCATCATCGCGGTGCCAGCAGGGTCACGGTACTGTCCGAGAGGAGGGCTCCTCCAACTCACAATCTGGCAACAGACCCGGACTCTGGTACTGAGCCTGGTACTGACACACAGGACTTAGGCCTGGGGGAAATAGCTGGGGCTGAAGAAGAAGAGGAGGGCTCCCTGCTGGTACAGGCTTCTTCCTCCTCCTCCCCAGGCTGACTTTAATGCCCACCACAAGCTTTTAAAAGGATGGCTTCTAACCTAGACTTGGAGGGTGGGGGTTCTTAAAGAGTCTTCTCATAGCCTCATTGATACTTTGGCCACAGCAGCCCCGTCAAAGGAGGCCCTACCTGTCAATGAAGCCATTATGGGTGTGGTCAGATCCTTATGGCATACCCCATCTTCTCTTCCTCCCACTTGAAAGAGGGCAGAGAAGTAGTACTATGTGCCTGACAAGGGACATAAATTCTTGTACTTCCACCCTCCTTGCATGGTTCCTTGTGTCACAGTGGCCAATGAGAGGGACACTGCTGGACATGTCACTAGTGCCCTTGCTGCCGCTTCCACCCTGCCTGGCCCTGATCTCACAAGACCACAGCCATTTACTCCACCCAAACCTCTGGGTCCTTAACCCGACTGCATGGAAGCTCCATAGTTGAACCTGAAGAAACAGGCCTGTTCAGAACAAGTTGGCCAGATCTTGCTAGGTAGTAGATAACTATCTACTAGAGCAACTTACCTAGCCAAGTGGAAGTGTTTCTTGATGTTTCTTGCCTTCCTAATAGTGATTACCGAGGGGAAGGTCTCAGAAATTAGGGCCTTTATGTCAGAACTCCCA